GTTGTCACCTCTCTGTATATTTTAAGAATAGTCAGCGAGCAAACACAGCCCATTCCTAGTAATTAACAATTTCAACTTTTTTCATGGACATTCACGTAAATTTGTTTGATTTCAAGTCATCGTGTGACGAGTAACAATTTCAACATTCTGTGAAAGGTGCATCACCATTTTACCGTTAATTGACATACGAGTAAATCAAACAAGACCTATACATTAACTGGTTAAAACATACTTAGTACATGTAACTGAAATTTCTGAAATACATTATAAATTAACGTCTTGCCTTCAAATAGATGATAATTTGAGTAATAATGAGATATTCTCAAGATCTGATTGGATTTTTTTAATTTTTGATTCTCGTTGTCACAGTTGTGATCGAATACAAAATGAACCTTTCTTTCCTTGTTGAAATATTGGAATTCTGAACATCGTTCCCTACTTGCCAAAGACGCGGGTCAGAAGGACTTTAATCATTTAATGACTACTTCGAATGAATCTACTAAACTATGTTTCATTTCTTAAGCCAAGTTATCCCCCTTCATTTGGTGAATTTCCACCATTTTCTACTGCTCGATATGTTATGTAGTCCAACAATACACAGACATGTCTCCAAATGCAATTAAGACTTAGAAACATTATCATGAACTATTAATTCCCATTAGTAATTTGATCTTGAAACATAACTTGTGGGTACTCCCGTTTTGTATTCTAAACAGAAAATAGCAGTCGGTCCTTCATCACAACGTTCAGATTGTCCATCATTATAATCCCAATTAATACCAGAAAACTCACAACATTACTTTACATTGTAGATTTGTGTTAACATGAGGCCCGGTGTTGCTCATGATACTGCCTAGTCCTGCAGATTTATTCTAACCTGTCAGCTAGTTTGACAATTGTCGACTGAAGTACAGTAAGAAAAAATAGTGTTTTATAGGAATTTATGGATATTTCGGTCTTGTTGTATTTAGTGTCTCAAACCAATAGGCTTCCCTAGCTTAACGGAATCACAGACGTGACACAAATGGTGTACGATATATTGATGGTATGATTGAACTACAAAAATATATGGGTTTGGCGTATCCGATTTAAATAAATATGTTGTAAACCTAACAAACCTTCGGAGGTGTGGAAAAATTACACAATGCCCCTCTTTTTCTGCCACTCGGTGTAGGTACTACTGAGGATTTTTAGCACGTCCAAAATCTTGTTGGTCAATTGTTTTCTTGATTCCGAATTACAAGGTTAGAAAGTATAAAATGAATGAATAAGATTGGTCTTGTCTAAATATCTCAAATTCTTACGTCACCTCTTGTTTGGTCCCTCGGTTGTCTCTAAAACCAAAGACGACCACCGTCAAAGTAAAAGGGTGCGATTATAAACGTTCCTAAATTTATATGAGCTGTGAAATGTTTGTTTTGAAGTGATCCACAGATTACATTATTACTGGACATTTTATTCAACACCATGCCCAATTTGTTTGACCAAGAAATTGAGTTATGTATACCAACATAGTGTCAATGTCAACACCCTAAAATAAATCAAACAATAGCCGAAAAATACAGTCGGTTTTATGGAAAACTTCCTGATGCTGTTTTTGTCAAACTGAGATGAAATTTTCTTTAATTGTATTGATTCTTCTTGAATTTGTCTTTTTGTGAAACCATTCTTACGACTTCAACATGTATAGGTACATTGGCATTACGAGTTTTTACCAAAATATATAAAAAAAATGACTCGATCTAAATACATGTATGCGTAATATAATTTATATTCTCGATAAAAACTATAAGTGTTCGTGAGTTTTGATTTTAAATACGAGTTACCGCCTTAACTTTGACATAGGTTTGTGAATGGTTTTACAGTTTTAATTGGATTTTGACATGCTTATCAGTGGCTTGGTGGGTCCCCTTCACCACCACCACCCCAAACTTCTCTCCCAGGAATTTTTATAACTTATTCTCTCCTACATGCCGAGACCCCTCATGTAAGTCAATTTAATGCCTGTTATTGATGTGTCGGAGTATTCTGTCCGAGTATCCAAACGCTTCAAGACACCGATACAATTAATTTGAAATTTGGTTAACTGGGTGAAAACTCTCAAACTCTAGAGATCTAAAAGTGCAACTCCAAAAATGTGATATTTTTGCTTATATTCCACCATTATTTTACGTCCGAGGAACAGTTAGGGCCAGATTGTCCGATTACCGAGACCTATGGACTAAACTTTTAATATTTTACCCCAGATGAAAAAATTGATGATAAACTAATAGTGATTAATAAGACATTATAAAAATGTCAATTGTTATTGTGGCTATAAAAATTGTCTCAATTGGCTAATTACCAACAAGATTGGCTTGAAGATTTACAACTAAATTTGCCAATTCAGAAAGTCAACAAAATATTCAGCCCACTACATTATGTACCATTGAATCTGCAACTGGAGGAATACGCTAAAGCCCAACGCACACGCCGGACTTTTGTCCTCGAAACATTGTGTGTTAGCACAAAACATTTTATTTTGTTTCAAGAAACATTATTTTGAAAATCAAACTTGTCCGAATTCTGAAAAATGTTTCGCGAACAAATGTTTCGAGTCTGTAGAGTGCTTTGAATAAAAAACCTTTTTACGAAACATTTTCCGTCCTCAACCAATCAACAAATAATATCTAATCACGTGAAATAAAATTATATTTGAAAATTATGGTCACGTGAGACAAAAGTCATGTGACAAAGCGGCATACGCAATGTTTCTAATGAAAAGTTGAACAAATACTAACGTTCAAATATCCGCCTTTTGCGCCTTGATTAAGGATGATATTTACAACTTTACAGATGCCACTCCCAGTCTAGCTTTGTTATCTTTTTTTCCCCTAGTCAACAAAGAGTAATGTTATTTCCGTATTTTTGCACTATTTGTAACGCCACGGTGCGTATTGTCTTAATGTTTTACATCTTAAGCTTCGATAACATGTGTATGCAAACTCAAACGCAAAAAAACATGGACAACGGCAAATTCTATCTAAATCCTTAGCATATCCAAAAGTCTGCTTACATGTGTCCTCAAACCCAACACCTCCGTAAGCGGAACGGATGGCTCGGTGGGTGATTTTCAGCGTTTGTGGACGGCTTCCGACAGCTAGCAAGGTGCAAAAATGAGGGAATCCCCTTAATGGCATAACCTGAACGGCATTCTCCTCTGCACCCTGGGCTGATTCCATTTATATGTTGACGGCTTCGCGGAATCATTGTACCCACACATTTAATCGCAGCTTTATCCGTGCCGTTGTTAGTAGCCAATGAGAGAGCTTAATTCGTGTTGCGTACGGGCAATTATTTGTTTCCCCGATGTATGATGTCATTGTTGTTAGGAATGCTATGCGAGTTTTGTAGGCTAAGAGGGAGTCTTAGACTTTGGATACAACTTGCTCCGCACATTTACTAATGTAGGTAGGTAGATGACAAGTTAACGTTCGCTTCCAGCGGATGCTGATATCGCAAACTAACATTTACTAATGGTTACCGTTACGGTACAAGTAGCTCTGTACATTTACTAATGCTCACCGTCCCGGTACGAAGAGACCCGAAGGTTTACTAATCCGCACAACGGCGGTAAAATCAATAACGCACCGCTCGTTATTGGTACCGCCAAGGTGCGAATGGCTACGGCCTTTTCATAATGTTACCTTATGCAAACACAGAGAAATTTTAAGTACAGTAATTAATCTGTCATGGGTTTAAAACTTGCTGATTATAATCGCCTATCAGGTGCAAAAACAAAGTGCACAATGAAAAATCTCTCTTAAAAAATTCAGTGTTATTAACTTTGTTTGGCGTTTAATGGCCTTCGTTGCAAGATAAAGTGTGACCATATTAAACAGCTTGTTATCAAACGTTAAACATGTTGTAAAATATGTTTCTATATTCCAAGAATAAACCAGGATTGCACACAGAAATCGAGAAAAAAAAATTTGGTATCCTCAAATTTTCAATTGAAGCATAATTTAATAATATTAAACTGGGGTGTTGTTGCATATACGGTATCGTTTTTTCTAAAGTCGGATCGCCAGAGGGAAATTTAATTTCATGATACACTAATGGTTTGTTTGGATGGATTTTTTAACAATACGGTGAATTTATCAGTTTCAATTTTGTGTGCATTATTACTAAATTATAATTGTCAATCTTGCTCGTTATGCACCAACATATTGCTTTCTGTTTGATGAACGTTGACTGATAGGCTCAGTCAAAACATATAAAGTTTATATTTAAGACCGACTCTTAACCGTATAACGGTATTCATAACCTATCATAGTTTATTTACACCAACCATCCGCACGTGAACAGCTCGCCTGATTGACGGGAGTATGTTAATCTTTTAATATAGTGGGCGGAGTTAAGGTCGTGTCCACTTTTAGCATGCAAAGGGGTGGTTGGCATATGCCTTCAGTCGACTCATCCTCCCTAGAGCTTCATAGACAATGACTAGTCCATTATATCAGACGAATCTTAAAGACAGTTTACATGCTAAGACAGTTGTAAAACTTAGCCCCTTGGATCGCGGAGTAATACAGTTTGTTGTCATTTTTATCAGCGAAGTGTAAGAAAAAACTATATAGGATTATTGAAATTAGCTCTATTGACGAGCGGTTTTACATTGATGTACAACATTCATTCTATTTTTTAACAATTTTTTAACGTTATCAGGGTTTACTAGCTTTTAAAGCGAATAGTGTCTAACTTTACACGCGGTTAACTGTGTCGTTTACTACCTCGCTTCTATCAGTGATAACAATTTTTATTAAAGGGGCTTTAAAGTATTCTAGTATTAAAGTGTGTGTTCATACTCAGGATGTAACGAAGACTTTACGGCAGTTTTCTTCGGATGTGTTGCGACTGTTTTAATTGTTTTGATTTTTCTGGTTGGATTATTACGTGAATCAGTGGAGACTCGGGTGCAATTCGAAAAAATATTAGGAATGACAGAGAGAGGGAGCAAAATGGCTCTCCTTAAAAATTTAAACGCTGGCTTTATATTTTTGTGTTTTCTATGTGTAGAATTAGTTTCAGGAATCCCTTGTCCAAGATCGTGCCGCTGTCATCATAAATCTATTGACTGTAGTTTTAGAAATCTCTTCCATGTTCCTAAAGATCTTCCAAAGGATACCGAAAAATTGTAAGTATCCTGTATACAATGTAACTTACATTGTTTGATATTTTTTTTGATTCTAGTGAGACAGGTATGCTCACTCTATGACTGCCATCACCAGTAAAGAAGCTTGAAATCGTCAAGTATAGCAAGAAAATCCTACCATTTTACTCAATGTAGACTGTTGTCACTCGGTTTGTCATTTGATTATAACAACAAAAGATGATATTAGATACAAGATTCATTGGCTGGTTTTGTCAGATTAGGAACCAGAAACATTTTGATAAGAATTTTACCTGTTGGTGATGCGATCAGTGCATTTGATAATGTCTCCACTACAGTTAATTGAATTTGTATATTCATCAGCAATCGTTGACATTTCTGTGTTTTAACCTGTGAATACACTGATTTATCATATTTGCATATAAATGTCTTTTACCATCTTGATACGAGTTGAAAAATTTTGCATTAAAAGAATCATAGAGATTGTATATAATTTCATTCGATACGATATTAAAAGGTCATTTATATTCACAGAATTGATTTAATTTGCATCAAAAAGAGAAGAACTTTATATAAGTATTTCAAGAACCAGTCTGTTTTTTTGCTAGTAGGTTGGAAAATATAGGTGCTCACATTAACAATAACTATAGACCAATAAGTATAATTTACATCGATTTTAATAATAAAAAAAATCCATACTGCCCCTTTAATAAACCATATTGCACTTGAAGTTTAAAATAAGTACGCAATAGCTGATTTGTGATCGCGTTTATAACCGATAATAATATACACTAACTTTTAAAATCCCTAAATACCATAGTTACACTCTATTTTACTCTTAAGAATGTCAAAATTTTACAATAGAAGTATATAACACTGTTTCTTATTTGAATCTCCTTTTGTCCTCTTTGCATCTTAAAGAGGGTTTCACATTCAAACAGTAAAGCAAACATCACATTTTAAACTCGGAGAGAATACTTAAATAAAACTACACACAGAATATTGGTTCTACACGTATTGTTAAATGTAATCATCTCTGAATCCATGTCGGCGTCAAAACCTTTTTGTCCTGAGAAGCAAACTTTTTATAAATGAATTGCTTGTTTTTTGATACGCCGAACATTTTCAGAGATACATATCCAGCTGATATAATATACCTTGCTGTCGAATCTACTGTTAAAATACTGTGTATGACAGGTTTCACAGAACCACGATTTTTACTTTTTGTCATAAATCCGTCAAATTTGATCAAAAAACGGTTAAGAATCTTCATTAAAAGTCTTATTTAATAAAGAACTTCTTAATCCATTCCAACCTATTTTAGTGACGCCAGGAAAATTGTCCACACTGTGTTCCATATAATTGCTATTAAAAATGATATCAACCTTGTACCTTTTAAGACTTCCAAAGAAGTAGCAACATCTCAATATTTCAGACCAAGTTTTCAAATTTTAAAATGAATTTCAAATGATGCTAACGCTAAAACATGTATTAATGTCTTATTTTTACTGTTATTCAAACCAAATCTTATTGGAATGGTAAAGTTATGAACGTTTCTCAAAACCATCATTTTATCCACTCACAACAGCGAGCCAGTAAACTTTCAAGTTATTGCCATCATCTTCTCCGCTTCCATACTGTTTATTATTGCAACATAATAACCATAAATATTGGCGCATACCTAAAATAAATATTACTTGTTTTCTTGATAACAATGCTTCAACTCGCTTTATATAGACGATATCTGATACGCACCAGTTGATACAAGTAGTCAATATTTTTCAATATGATATATGCGAGTCAGAAGTATTCAGCAGACGACGGTTTAAGGCCTCGTGGTTAGAATTGCCCCGAAAAGATGCTGGAAACCAACTATTTGCGAGACAGTGATTCCATGATTGTAAAGCGAATACAGATGCGAAAGAACAAGACGTGATCTATATAAGTTTTCCGTGCAGGAACTACAAGCTCCCCCCTGAATATATCTTATTTTGTTATATGCCGTGGTCAAAATCCGTACATGACAGGCTCAACAATTATCCACCTTTTATTAGTAGTTGTGTGGTAGTAATAAAAGAAAAGATGCAATTCAAGGCTATCGCATTCTTTATGGTTTTTATTTATAGAGGATCAATACATATTGACACCAAATCGCTTCCATATGATGAAGATAGTATTTCAATGTTTTTAACGAGGTTTCCTTCTCTCAGGGCAATAGACATACTATTAAATTAGTTTAATATTATGTACTCAAAATTACACAATTAAAACAATAGGAAAGTCATGGGTTTATTGGTCGTGTTTATCTCGCCTCGAGGGAAAAAATACTGTTCGTGCTACTCATTATAGAAGCCTTGCTGAGTGACCACTGTCCAGCTTTAAATTGACCAGAAAGTTAATGATGTGAAAATGCATCATTAATTACAAGAAGAAGTTGACACCATCAATTAGTAGGTTTTTAATCAAAATTGTGACCCCATGAAAACTGTTGACCGATTAAGTACTTTGACAAATCTTATGGTCATTAATTTTATGTCTTACAAATGAATTGTTTTAGAGTGATTCAATGCAAAATTCCTTGAAAATAGTCACTTAAAATATTACTACAACAGTCTCTAGAATGACAGGTTGACAAACCTAGTCTTAGAGTGTCACCAGGTGTAAAGTAGGGTTATGTCTCGCCTTCGAACTCAATGCAATGATAATTGTTGAGAATATAGAAATCGTAGATACACAATATCCCTAATTGCACATTGGATGAGGTAACATCTATACGTCTTTAAGATTTATGTTTTTCAATCAGACCTGATAATTCTTGATGTATCTGAACATTTTGTTCCTTAACTTTTATACATGTATGTATAAAAATACATCACAGGAGATCCCATAGACTTGTCAACACATGCACAGACATAAAACAATCACTTGTAATGTGAAAACTTTGTATATTTCGTGTATATTTTCCTTATATCTGCCCCAGGCTTGATGTTAAGACCTTGTGAATATCTGAACCAGGTCGTCTTAAAACTCAGCCAGGGAACAACTATGTAAGTTTTAGTACAAACATGGACCACAAAATCCAGGCACTATATCTTGAAGTTTCTCCTTTTGTCTACGTCTTGTTCTTGTCTCGTTCGTCTCTTTTCGCATAGACAACGACAGAGTGCAATTTCCCAACTTAGATTCTAAACTTTGCACTAACCGCAAAAATGAAATACAATCTAAATTCATTTTGTTGTAATCGTACATTCTAACGTCAAGTATTGATGTTCAGTAGAGAAATAATACGACAACAAAACATACTTTAATATATTTTACACACAAATATATCGTTTCTCAGATGGTAGAGTGAAAGGTTTCTATTTCTAATGCTGCATTTTCTATCATGTCTACAGTTACTATAGTTTTTTTTGTCATGTTTTATGATCTTTGTCTACCGACGTTGAAGTATAATCTTCTATAAATGTACCAATATTACATTATTCATGTGTTGTGTTGGCAAATACTAAATTTAAACTTAACGTTGTAGTATGTGTCGAGATATATTTGGCATCATAGTCGCAATGAGGATATACAACATCTCATGTATTGTTGACCACTGGGAACGGGAAAAAAGGACTGCGAACAGCGGGAGTGATCAATCCTCGTGTGAAATTCAATCCTATTACCTGATTTTATTTATGTATTCGCCAATAGTTTCATTTTTTGACCCATTGTGGAACAATTTTTTCCAACTAAGGCTTGGAAATAGACCCAAATGTACCACCACTTTCAGTGTAATTGTCAGAATTCTTTGTCTGCATTCATTTTGCAATAATACTAGACTGAAAGAACAATATCTATTGTTTTCAATGATTCTTAGTCGCTGATACATTGAGCATTTCAGAGATGAAACGGGAGTTACATGCCGCTACGATTACTGGAATTGTAATGGTTCTAATTGGAGCGAGTAGTACAATCATTGTTAATGTTTGAACCGTGCATAATTGTGATAGTTCAGGATGGATATGACAAAGACCACTGACTGTGAATATAAGGGTATCATATCTTCTCACAAAATACCTTATGATCCCTCTTATTGTAAAAGGAATTCTAAACATACAAAAACTTCCACAATCCTAACCTTGAAATAACTTAACTTAGTATGTACCCTATGGTGGGCCTTAAGTTTATACTTTATATATTAATAAAAATCCGTACAAGCTAGACTATGCCTTCAATCAAAAATCTCGTACAAAGAAAAGCAAAATCGACAGTGAAAGTTGTATAGTAGTGGACTTCTCCAAGGGAGAATCAAACCTTCCCTCACCGAAATCTATAACAGTAAAATCATGAGATACAACCAGATCAATTCTTGCCTGAACGAACAAATAGCCAAACTGCAAGAAGCATTAGATAATGAATATGTATGATTTGTGTTATTTCGTATAAAAATCCAATCATTTTAAAAACAAACGTGATGTTGACTATTGTCAATTCGATTTCAATGGTGTGTTACGCAAACGGACTATTTTCTGAATAATACGGAAACAGTCACCATCATGCTGTGATAGGATAAGATTAAATTACTAATACTTGGAAACCAAACAAGCAGTCGCAGTTGGATATTTGTCTTATATGACACTTGACGTCGTTGCCCAAAGAACGCCAGGTCCCTGCTGATAAATTCAAATGTTTATCTTAATCTGTGAGGTTAAGAAATTTACCAAGAGATTATAAGATCATGTATATTTAATCATGCATAATGAAATAAAAATGAGCTTTATTTTGTATGTTTATCCAAAAGCAAAAAAATCGAATTACGTTAGTACACAACACACCAATGAAGTTACTTTTCTAGATTAGATATAACATGCATAAAAAATTGATAAGGTGACAGATACTGGTCAGACTATTTTTTTTCTTATCTCCGAAGGGATTTCGTTTGTTAAAGGTCCGACTTAACGTGACTTGAGCCAGTATCTCTGTATGCAGTTGTCCATCTTTATAGCTTAAAAAGGTGCGATACAGTGTGACGCAGTATGATCATTTAATTCTATATCTGACAAGAAATTATGACAGACGTACTTAATGTATGCCTTGTAAGAGATAAATTTTTATCACATATCTTCGTGTCGAATTCTCTTTAACAACTTTAGGTTCACAAAAATTTGCTCCAGAATGACGTGTTAATGCATAATTTGAGTCGTATTTAACATAGTCGGCAAACATTCTTTCATTTTAATCTTTTAGATTTTCTTTGAGGTGATCATAGCTGGGGTCGCCTAGGTGTCCAGGCTAGTTATGTTTAAAAACGCCCCCTTCTCTTGATGTTTCAAGAGTAATAGAATACTTTTATTTCCTCGCCCTTACATGATTTTATCATTAGATGCCATTTTCTTATGCAAGTTAACGTTTAAAAGAGTAAATTATTTCACAGGTCATTGGTGAAAATATTATTTTTGGCATTAGTAATTTTAATGGTTTTTAGGGTATTTATAGGCGACTAATGGAATTTCTTCGTTTATCAGATTCCATTGTTATAGTAGAATGTTGTTAAAAAAACTTTATGATCATTAGTTGAAATCCTTTCTCTTTTTGACAGTGTCTTTTATATATATAACAATGAAACTACAGAATTTTACGTCCTGTATTTGGCCATATGAAGACTAGTTACACCAGAGCAAATGTCGTAGATCTGTGAGGTGCACAGCCAGTCTCACTGAAAGACCAGACTCCTTTCTTGTCAGTTCCTTCACTGGAAATAGGTTTGAAAATAGATCGTATTATCTGGAACTTGTGCTGAAATTTTCCAATTCTGAATGAAAACCTTGTCCCTTCTCTAGGCATGTGTATTTTGAGGGATCAAACCCTTCCTCCCCTAATAACATATAACCAAACCCGCGACGTGAGCACATAAGGTAGGCCATTTGTAATGCTGATCAAATTTTGTCATTTTTACCGTGGTTCAAGTTAAACACCGGTAACAAACCGCTGTTTTATCCATAGAGGTTTACAAAATTTTGTTTGTCCAACTATGACTAGACAGTACTCTTAGAATTTTCGGCTTTAAATTTCAGTAATTCACACCGTGATTTTCAATTTTTCTGCCTTTATCTTGTGATAATGTACAGCTTACGCCATAAAACCTTTGTTCAGTTTTATCCCGAAAGGTTTAGCTCATTTATTCGTCGAACTATGTGCTCGACTAGTCTGTACTCTTAGATAACTCGACTCTGAATTTCAGAAAGAACTTGTCAAAATTCTTATCGTGATTTTCCAATTTTCAGTCTCTATCTTGTAATGTTATTAGGTACAGCTTACACCGTACAATCTTTACTGGAATATACAATAGATATATAAAACATAAGTATATCATATTATTCATAAACAGCACTAAGCCAAAATCAACAACTATCAATGACTAGAATGCATATTTTTCACATTTCTTTGCCTTGTCGTGTAATCATTTCTAACTTGAAATGTACTTCTCAATTTCTTTGTTGTTGCTTTGAATGTTTCTGTCATTGAAATGATTTTGGTTCAAAGAACGTCCGCTTTTACTTCCACAATTGTTTTTTTTTTAATCTCTGGTATAAAATCAAACATTTTCTACATGTTTCATATTGAAAAATATCTGGCCAAGATCAGGCATGTTTTATTTGAAAGTTTGATTTAAACTGAAATCTCCATATTTCAGAAAGGAACTGTTGGAAAGAACAGGGGAAATATGGGTCGTCTTCACCATTATTAACGAATTAAACCAATCGCAAAAAAGTATTCCATAGAACCAGACGTTATTATTTTTGCTATTTTCCTTGTCGAACCCTTGTCCGAGATCTTCTCTGAAGACTTTTTCGTTGAATACATACCTGGATTAATGATTGGTTATTGATCAAGCTAAAAAAAATATTCATCAATTGAAAATATATATATATACATCTACTTGCAACTTATTCTCATTCAAGTGAACAATAATGCAGGTATATATTTCTCACTCTAAATAACATGTATGTCTGGACGCCTTAAAAATCTTAATGGGATGTACATTTTGGATTATATGGTATTATAGCGCATGAGTTTTATTGAACGATTATTAGGTAAATTTCATATTTTCTGTCTAGGAAAAGTACATTTGTATGTATAATAAACAATGTAACTTTCAAATACTCCGTGAGAATGTTACCGTCTGTAGCTCATTTCTGGTTATAGGACAATGTCGAAATAATTCAATGTTTATTTATAGTTATATGTTATTAAACATATTACGTCTATATCATATTATAACTTCACGTGATCAAAGGAATTGTTCAGAACATATTTTCACGTCTGCAAGTCATCAAACCAGGCTAGACGATAAAAGGCCATTTTCGAAATCTGGGAAATTTTCCTTTTTCGAACCAAGGAATTAGCGTTTAGAGTGATTGTATTGTGAAAGGTGATATTAGATACCTCATTTATTTAAGGGTGGACCATGAAGCTAGGAATCTGGGTTGCTACTGGCTGATGTTTAGTAAGATAACATAATGCGTTTTTGGACGCTAATTATTGTTAGGTGGACTAAATTTTAACCAGGTAAATCCTCTGTCATAAGTAGTTCTATTTCCGATTTAGAACGCAGATCGTTTTGACATTTGCAATCACGAACTTCAGATTTGGTAGAGCCGACTATAGATCGTGGTGCTCTCTCGATAGTAATTATGCCATTAATACTGACTATCAGATTACTTGCTTAATTCCTTCACGGCGCCAATCTCAATTCCTGATCACAGCACAAATCTAGAACTGTGTTGCTAAATGTAATAAACGTAATTAGAAATTGTGGAAATACTCAGTAATTACATTAGGTGATATAATTAATGTCTATTACTGGCGAACTTGGTCTCCGCTGAGAGACGAAAATATTAACCCAGAAAGACAACGTTGCGAGTTTTTTCACTATATTTTTACTAGAAATCTGTTCAAATTAAATTTTCTAATTAAGGTTCCAATCCAAAGCATTTTTAAGTCGATTTTGCATGACTTGACTACATGACAATCAGCAACAGGAACCATCGGTACGAGTAAGACTGTTTTCAATCTCGAATTTATCATGGTACTCGTTCATATTTCCTTCAATTATTCAACCCCCCCCCCCCCAAATCAATAAATGTAATCATCTTAGACAACCACGTCTATCATACGCATTGGGGCCCACCATGTTGTTTATCTACTCAAATACCAGTGTTACTGGGGATAACTCTTGCACACGCTTACGTCTGTTCGGCACTGAAATTTATCGATGTTTTATCAGTCTAATATTATTTTGATCAAGGGTTTTGATTAAGCGTTAATTTGTACCTCCTATAGTTTTGATTATTATTACACATGTTGTTCAGATAACCATTGTCCAATCGTACTAGGACCTCCCACATATTCTCATAAACATGCACATAAAACGATCGTTACTAATTTTATTAGAGGATAATATTTGTACACAGTGGACCTGAGATTACTATCAAAGGGATACTTAAATATGAACCAGAAACGTTTATGATGTACAGGTTTTGACCAAACAGTCTTGACTAATATTAGGTTTTGATAAATGATAATAATGATATGTTAATTGGTGAAACTATTTGGTAACATTTACAAGATTTTATATCTAAAGTAGGAGTATATATATAGCAAGTATTTATATTTCTATTTACCCTACACTGTACAATTACACCTCTTAATTAAAGTGTGTCAGATCTCATAGAAATAATCTGTCAAGTGATTAGTGATTTGCTTGGTAAAGGATTTAAATATTGTGATTATTGCAGTTTCTACATTCCATCTGAACAAAAGTGTGATGAGCTGTGATTCAAATGTCGTGTACATCATTGCATGGACACTGTGTTCTTTTAAGGAACGATCGAAACATTCCCACCAAATTGTTGATGTCTTTATCAAAGTATGATATATGTATTACGCGGTATAAATAAGATATCTAGACTATGAATTTACATGTTACACGGGGTCATTAAGTGCTTTTTAGTGTTAACCAATTTTGACCCTTATATTTGACCCAACTGACATAGGGTTATAAGATGACATCTCGTATTAATGCTAAAAGCATTTTAGTGGTTTTTGAAATATGTCTTTATATTTGGGGACTAGAAATCGTGGGGGTATTAGGATACAAAGTAGGATTTTTTCGCATCTGAAGAGTAATCTCTCATTATCCCGATATTGCAAAAGTGGCACCTACCTAAAACAATATATGAAATCGGGAACGTTTCATTTTTTATATATTATAAACTAATCTTTCTCCAGCCTGACAATGTTATCGTCTACGTTTTATCAGCTTCAAAACGTATCTTAACTTTAAATACCATTGAGTACCTTACTAACCTTACTCTCCACTGAGTGCTGTCTCGAGGAGGTTATACTAACAAATTTCAAGTGCATAGGTCTTGAAGATTCCTGTAATTACACAAGTCTACAGAACTATTAAGATTGTCAGGAACCACACTTAACAGATAGTTTAACTTGTCTCTGAATTGGTATCAAATACATTCCTTTACATACATTATCTTTTGCCTTTAAAGGATTGTCAAGAGGTTATTTCACATTTTTAGGTGTTTCACTTCAAGCTTTCATAGCACCAATGAAACTTCATCGATAATGACATTTGGTTCTCTCAGTCAATTGTTTTTGGTTTTAGAACATCTTCATTGAAGGTCCCAACTTTGTCGAATCTTGATTTGCTGGTCATTGATTTAATGCCAACGAATAAAATAGTAATTTAAAGACGTTTTAGTTTCAGTGTTAAACCTTATTTTTATATAAACTAATAGGTATTAAGATGTTATACAGAGAATACAGAGTGCGTATAGATGTCAATACATGTATATCAATGATAATGCTATTGATTGTTATATATTTTCAGGGATCTACAAGGAAACAATATCACTATTATTCGTCGATCAGACTTTCAGGGAATGAAGCAACTTAGGATCTTGTAAGTATTTATGTTTATAGTACAATAGCTTTCAATAACAATATCTCATGACGTCTATAATCTAGTTAGAAATCAACAAATCAAAAACAAATAATTCCACCGTTAATGCTTTTTATATTCGATCTGAAAAAAATAATGCAATTGCAGTATGTGAAATAACTCCGATATCATATAACTTTGGCTTGCAAATCTAAATGAGTAATTGAGTTCATCGCTCATATTTTGTTTAACCAAGATGGCATGGTTTAATGCTTTAGAATGGCAACCTTGGTATTTATCAGATGATTGAATAAATCAAGGTTCTTGAAAAATTATTTTTTTCTTTTTTCAGACAATTATTGGATAATCAGATTTATTCTATCGAAAAAGGATCTTTTAATGATTTAGTTTCAATGATGAGAGTGTAAGTTTATATTTTTTTTTTATTAGAAATTAGTGATCAATGATTGTATACATCGAACTCGAATTTGAATTACAAATACAAAACATTAAGGCATCATACACATGTTGGTCAACCAGTTCTGCTAAATATCATACACTTTCTTTTATTGCCTTTGTATTTGTCATGTTATGGAATAATTTCGCCGGGGTTAAATCTTAACAATTTTAAATGAATATGTATATCACATTTCGTTTTTAATTTGTATCAATTTCATCATATTTTGAAGGTTTTTTTCACCTGGTTATGTACATAATGATTATACATCTAGCCTATATTGTATTGTAGGTGATGATAATGTAAATCATATAAATTATACAGCTGGTTAATAAAAACATTTAAAGGTTATTACAACGAATGATACAACCCTTCTGATGACACTGTTATAACATCAAGGGTGCAATTAAAGCAAATGTCGCTAGTAGCATTGTTAATAACCGTCATCGGTATCATAACCTTATTGCAAAATTTTTTATCTTGGTGTTCACTTCATCAGTTACGGAGACATTACTTTTAACCAGGCCAATATCCTGACAAATTGTTCTTCATGGCATGACATTATCGGTCTTCATTAACACCATAAATTACAAAAAACTGAACGTTCAGTTCCAATTCAATCAATTTGTTGCAAATTAATACGTAGAGCTTCACGGTCAATTGTTGGATAATTGTAGTTCCGTTTAATACTAATCTTATGATCAATATTGTCGCAAGTAAGGTATTAAAATTTAAAATATATATCTCTAAAGATTTATTCTTTTGCATTGTGTTTGTTGTGTTTTTTGGTGGTGGGGAGAGGGGGTCGAAACTTGAATAAACTACAGAAATCCTAACAACCGGTACCAAAGAATTGGGACAACGTACAAGTAAGTACGGCAAATTTTTTCCGCACACTCAGATTGATATCTTTAAAATACCAGGATATGCTCCTTTAAACAAAATAAGACCTTTGAACGTGAAAGTTCAGTCATGTCGGTAGACTCCCAACAGCTGTTAGTATGTCAGTTACCTTATATAACAATGTTTTATCATCTGAATAAGAGCGGTCATTGAAATTCCAGTCGTGGGAACAACGGTTTGTCTGAGTGGCAAATAGATTTGTATTATGTTTTTCCATTAGTTCGTCGAGATTTACACCAAAGTCGCTAAAATTTTGCAAGGACTCAAAATCTAATTGTCGTTTGGTAGAGAGCTGACAACGAACAAGGAATTCAGTTAGTTACAGTGGTACCCGGGACTTGATTCCTCGATAGGTGGATATAACGTTGCACTGCCAACCTCCATCTAATTCTTTTGAACAATTTGGCAGCCAAACTTTAATCTGTTCAAAACATATCTTTATCTGTAAGTCATTTATTACACAAAAGGTATCATCTCTGAAACAGCTGTTTATAATGATTATTATCATAAATAACAGTGAAAATATTATATTAGATAAAACACAATAAATTATCAAAAAGACCTAAATCTCGGTAAAATGATGGATTGTGCATGTAGAAGTTTGTTGAAATGAGGTCTTTCTGTTTGAATTGTATATTATGATATATATGCAAAAAATACTTAGTTCACTCCTTGGGCTAAGACTGTCTTAAAATAAGTCAAAACAAATCACCCGAGAGGTGAAATAATAACTAGGTTTGGTGAAATGATGAAAAATCTCATATTTAACTAGGAATGGTAGGAATGAAATGGGGTTTTCGTCTTTCTTTCATTTACTTGATTGGGCCAACAAGATTTACAAGAACAAAACTGACATTGTTTTTCTAAGGCCTCTATGTTGTTTAACATTCGAAGCCTTACAGCAACGTCACACATCAACTTATCACATTTAAGCTCATAGAGATGTACAAACTGATAATGGTAAATTTAAACCTCCACGGTAAATCAAAGTTGGGCATAACCATCACGAACGAAAAGACAGTTTACATCAAGCTAATTTGGTGGATAGAAATAATTTAGAAATAAAAAACACAAATGAAGATGCTGCAAGATGAAGTAAGTGCATCATTCCTGAGCACCATTGTTGTTCTGTAAAAATACCTTGATGCTTTTTTTGACAAAATCGGCCTACTTTAGATTTAAAATATACGCGAATGTCAGCGAAGAGAAGTCTTATAGAATGTACAAGCTAAGAAATAAAATGTCTCAGTTTCAATTGAAAGTTATAACCTTTAAGGTTTTTCTGTCAACAGTAATGTTTATGAAGTCTAGATAAACCTATATTGAATATCACGACATTTTTAAAGATGGATGTTCACCTGTACTGTAATTACAATTCCTGACTTAAGTGATGCGAACTGGCGTTATACATAATTGAAAGAAAAGATGGATCTTATATTTACTTGATAGAGAAAAGCAATATCAAAGAGATGCATGCGATCCACTTAATTTCGTTTGTTAGGCTGGCGTTTTTCAAAGTTCGTAGTTATGCATTGTTTTTTTTTTTTCATACCGGCTACAACATCAAGTATATGATATTATGTATGTATATTTTTGATATACACAGAACAAAAATGATTATAAAATGGTATAAAGTATCGGTTCGAGATAAATTTGATATACAAAGATAATACTTATTGGGTCTTTATCTTACATTACCGAGTTAGATCTAGCCGTTAAATAGGTACGAAGAATAGTATGAAAGATAATGTCTAGTAAAGGATGAAGCTAAAATAAAGGGTACCAATCCAATCCACAAAACTAAGTATTAATCCATGAACCTAAGTAATTTTGAAACATGCCTAGAGGGCGTTTTTCAAAATTACTTAGTTAAATGGATATATAGTTTTATATAAAGATTCCAAAGATGAATATATACTTTTATTGATCAAGTTAAATACTTTAATTTGTATGTCTATTCTAAGAGGTAGTATAATTTTATGTCGGAAACAAGACATGACAACCCTTTCTCTAATGATGAGAATATTTAACAGTTCATATAAGCATCACATTCAGTATTTTGTTAAATAAAAAATATGAATATTTAAGCAATTTCAAACAAAATACGTCAAAAGTAAATATCTAAAATCATTTTGTTTCAAATTAATAAAGATGTTATTAGAAAGTTTCTATTTGAATTCATTAAACGACAAAATCTTTAAGCCAAAAGTTTCCTTTGAAAGCATATTATTAGCTTAGGTTACCAAATACTATCTAATGAAAATTATGTCCATTGAATGGCGGGAGACCACATAGATAGATTTCAATTAGATTCATTTCATATTGAATTCCTATCTCCCGTGTAATGAAAAATCGTTTTGACATTTCGCGCCTCGTGAGAACTCGCCTTTCAAACCGTTGAATTGCGCCGAGTCACGGAAAAACCAATATTATTGATAACTCGCTCATAATTAGTGGTTCTTTAGAATGAAAATAGCGTCACAATTAATTTCAAACTTAAAGCATTTTCTCTGAAAACTACGTGAAAATATCGAATATTGTCAAGTATTTGCCTTTCTCGTTAGGCTTAATTCATATTGCATGGTGTTCAAACAGACGACCGATATTCAAAACATTTCACTGATACTTAAATGGGTTATGAAAACCACTAAAGTTTTTCTAGAGCCTTTTTCCAGTCAGCTAGTGCAAGGTCCTGATCTATCAAATAAAATAATTGAAAAAGTTATGAAGTCTGATATATGTTTTCATTAGGGTTATATCTCCTTGCGATATTTTATCATGCTTTTGACATAAAAACTTTGCACAGTCTAAAGCTAATATTATTATAAATCCGCCATGGTTATCGTTCAATATCTGTCATCATGTCATTTCCTATTCCTGATAGATTCTACCAACGTTCTTAGAGATTGCATTCTTTTCTCGTACATCTTCATTTTTGGCCCCTCGTGGTAAGGCTTTGCAATATGGACATATGACGTTTCAAGCAATTGTAACATTTCTGTATTCAAATATACGTCTAGATAGCCAATTTCAAAAGATTGGTTTACATTTGAAGCTATTGAAATAATGTCAAGTCGAAGGTACCATATCTATTAACTTATTTAATCGTGTAGTTAAAGAATGGTTTATAGCTGTAAAGTATCTAGAGACTGTGAGAAGAGAAAGATAGGAGAATGGGTTCAACTCTGATATCACAGTGTGAAACCTATTTGCCACATCCGTCTGATGTTACTTGAGATTAACAATCAACTAACTGATGGATATATCACTTAGATTATTTCTCTACTCAATATTTCATACAGGATTGGAAACATGGGCGATTCAGATACAGGAGCAAATGAAACTGTCGGGCTTCAAGCTTCACCTTCTTAAATTAGTTTTAAGTTCGTTCTCGTTTTGTTGGGACGGGGACGTGAAGTACTTGACGAACGACCTGCGTCATTTTTACTTTTCAGTTCTGATGTAGTGCAGTTGATCATTTTCAGTCAATGTGGTTATGTGACCCTTTGAATCTTGATTACGTTGAACTTTGTTGAGCTGAAGCAATACTGCTTTTTGTTAAGACTCGGTTACGAAGTGCGTCTGATATAGTTCATTGTTTAAAGTTAT